TTTCCCTACCTTTCTAGTCATCTGTGACTGAGGGAGTGCTCACCTCTGCTGTTGTGTGCATCCCTGTGTACATCCCTTAACCATTTGTTACCTCCAGAATATATGCTGTGGTCAGCAAACCTCTATGTGTCCTTAACTTTGTTTTGAATGATTCCTCTTATTTCCTGATTTTATTTGAAACCTGATTATTCCCTAAGAACATTGAGTATCTTATATAACCTTTTAGGTAGAGGCTACTTTTTCACCCTCACCCTTCATGCCTCAGCACTAGATAGTAGGTTGGTGGCCTGCTAATAGACCCAGTTGTCCCTCTTCTCCCTGGAAGCCCTTGACTCTGGCTGTACCTCCTCCTCCTGCCATTGACCACTTAGTCACTGCCCAGTGTAACACCCCTGCTGTGTCAATTTCTACCTCTCATAGGTGGAGCTGTTCAGCACTGTGCCCCTGGTTCTTGGCTGTCCCCTACACTAATGCCTTTTCTTCTATTCTGGCCTGCTGCTGATGTCCATAATCATTCCCTGGACCTCTGGTATCACTAGAATTTGCAGTACCTTAAATTTAAGTACCTGTGCATTCACCACTTCTGGCTTGCTTATTTACTCACCTACTCTCTCTAAAGAAATTCTTTATCCTCATCCTCCAGACCAACCTTAATGTTCTCATCATTAGCTTTTCCCCACTGTCCACTCCCCTGTCTCCCTCTATTCATCTAATAAAGCCCTAATCCATTCATCTCTGCCCAAACCCAAGGTACTGTCAGGTGAGGAAACAGCCAAGCTGACCTACCAGTTGTACCATAAATTCATAATTTTAAACCTTAAGTGGATGCGTAACACTGCAGTACTGCTCTATTTTAGAACTTCTGTCTTATCTACCAATTCCCTCCTTTCTTTGGTAGTTCCTGACTACAACTTATAATTATTAAGAAATAATTGCCCAGCCAGCTGGTGGCATATTGATTCAGGCGGCTGGATCTCACACGGCCAACAGTTCTAGTCCCAGATCCAGCAGCTTGAAAAATGCACCAGAATCATGTTTATGTGTGCCCAAAAATTCCTAAAGGAAGGAGAAATGAAGGGATTATGGCATGACCATTCCCCATGGGGGGGGGGGTGCATTATTAACCCCTCCATCCCCCCAACCCTCTGTGTCCTCTTGCAACATTTAAAAAAAGAAAAATGTTTGCTATTTCGAGAGCAGTCTCACCTCCTCATTACTAACTGCAGTCATCTCCCTGTATTTTTATTTCCCACTGTAAGCCAGTGGGACTCAGCCTTTCCTCTGATGCTTTGGAGCCTCTTTTCTCTTGCTTCCCTAAAGACTTTCTTAGGCTTCTGTGTTTTGAGGTTTTCGTTTTGGTCATTCTCCTTCCTGCAAGTCTTGGCATCAAATGTGTGATAGAAACTCCCATTTCTGAAACAGAAAAACCAGTACGGATCACATCCTCTCCAGCGACTTCATTTCTCTCTTCTTACTCATTTCTCTTATGTTTTGCTTACCATGACTTTAAATCCTTATATGTACATGTGTAAAATGTATGTATATGTATATAGAGAAAGTAAACTAGAGGAGTTAAAGATACGAACATATATGTCTAACTTGTCTGAAGTTTTTTTTATGGGACGTAGAAAACATTTTCTTAAAAGAGAGTCACTTGTCCTTTTATTATTTATTGAAATTCATTCTTTCCTTATTGGAAATACCTACCTTTTTAAAAATAAATTCTTTCATATATATTGGTCTCTTGGAGTATCTAACTTGTCTCATTGCTGTGTGCCCAGACCATATTTTATAGAATGATTAATATCTAAGAGACAGTTCTCCTGTCCTTGGCCATTATGTATTTTCATACTTTCTCTTGCATGGAACTTTAGAAAGAATTTGTTCACTTCCATTTAAAAGTCCTGTTTGGGAGACCAGCAGGTGGCGTGATGGTTGGGGCGTTGGACTTGCATGTGGCCAACTGCAGTTCAGTCCTAGAGCCAGCGACTTTAAACTTGTACCACACGTATGCGCATGTGTGCGTGCGTGTCCATCCCCCCTGGGGGGGGTTCTTACTTTCTGTCTCTCTTTGTCTCTCTGGCAAACATACTTGCCCTATAGCAAAAATGTCTCAAAAAAGTAAAAAAGTTCTGTTGGGATTTTCATTGACATTATTTAAAATAGCTTGATTTGGGGAGAAGATATAAATCTTTCTATACAGCAATAAGGTATCTATGTTCTTTTCTAAGGAAGAATTATCTTCATATGGGCCTTTTACATTTCTAGTTCAAGTTAATCTTGGGAATTTTATAAAATTCCTTGCTATAAATGAAATCTCTTAAAACTACATTTGTTTTCTTCATCTTTTTTTCTTTTTTTAATTTGCCAGAGGGCACATACACTGGCTGGAGAGGTGTAGAGAGAGGGAGAAAGTGCTCGCCCTCCCTGTACCCCCCATGGAGGACTGGTCATGCCATGTCTTCCTTTTGAGGTTTTCAAGGTATGCACATATGTGTGCTTGGTGTGTTATTCAGGTTACTGGATTTGGAACTTGAGCTATGCTGTCAATCATGTTGGATCCAGATGCTTTAAGCTCCATGCCACTGGTTAGCCCTTGAAATTACATTTCTTTTTTTTAAGAAGTTTCTGTTGGGGCCAGCAGGTGGCATGGTGGTTGAGGTGCTAGATTGTTACATGGCCAACCATGGTTCGAATCCTGAATGTAGTGGCTTGCTTTCTCACTTTCTGTATATTCAAATAAAAAAAATAATTTTTAATGGAAAAAATACCTTTTAAAAATGCTCTAATTAAAAAGAAAAAAAAAGGTTTTTGCCATAGGGCATGTGTATTCTTTGGAGAGAGATAGAGACAGTGAGAGGGAAGTGAGAAATTACTTCCCAGGGAAGATGGCTATGCCGTTATCCCTTCTCCATTCTCCTGGGGTTTTGGGCACATACACACATGTGCCTGGTGTGATTTTCTTTTCCTTTTTTTTTTTTTTAAGAGATTTTTGCTATAGGGTTTGTGAGCTCGCCAGAGACACAGAAACAAGAGAGACCAAGAGCAAGAAATCACCCCCCAGGGGAGTTGGCCATACTACAATCCCTTCTCCATTCTCCTGGGATTTGGGGCATGTATGCACACAGACCTGGTGTGATCTTCATGATTCCAGGTCCAGAACTTGAACCACGGTCCGCCATGTGGGAGTCCAATAACATAACCAACCACTACACCGTCTTCTGGCCCCTTACACTACATTTCTAGCCAGCCCTGCATCCAGGACAGCTGTCCGTCTTAGTGTCCCTCACCTGGTTGATCTCACTAGTTCTGATCGTTCTTCAGTTGGTTCTCTAGATAGATCGTAGCCTACCAATGGCAGTTTTAGCTCATCCTTCCTTCCCTTGGGAGTCACAGAGACCAGGGCTCTAGTCAGACCTCCAGGACCTCTGGCTGCCATCCTTGATCTCAGTGGGAATGACTTTTATGTTTCATCAGAAAGTAATGTATTTGCTTTAGGTTTCTGTAAATAACTTTGATTATGCAGAAAATATTTCCTTTTATTCCTACTTTGCTGGGAGTTTTTTTCTTTTATTCCTCAGTGATAAATTTCGACACCTATTGAGATAATTAAGAGGGCTAGCAGGTGATGTGGTTAAGGCACTGGATCCCACATGGCTAACTGAGCAGTTTGAATCCCAAACTAAGTGACTTGGAAAATGGCAGCCATGTGGCTGAAAGGTGGTGTGGTAGTTAAGGACACTGAACTCCTGTGTAGCCTACCATGGGTTCCAGTCCCCAAACTGGCAGCTTGCTTTCTCACTTTTTCTCTCTCTCTCTGTATTCCTCTCTGATTAAATATAAATAAATAAAGTTAAATAAAACAATTACAAAAAAAAGAAAAATGGCCGCCCAACATGTGTTTGCCCCAAATCCCCTGCGACTGGCTGGCTATCGCAGCGGCAACTCCGTGTGGCCCCACAAAACTACCTTCACTGGCTACAGGGCCCCTTGGGTTGGCTGACCCCATGGCACACGGACTGCTGAAAAAGAGAAGTTTTAATAGAAAATAAAGATTTCTAATAGGAAACACACCTGCATGCCTGAAAGGCATGTGGGTGGGCAGCTATTAGAGAAGGACAACTGCACTGGGCCTGAGGTTGGCTGTCACTTTTACCCTAGGGGTTGGTAACCGATATTTAGCAGAGCAAGATCTGTCATAGTATCTGACTTGTTTGGAACCCACAGGCTTTTTGCTTGCTTGCGGTCTCTCTCAGGTGAGGCATTTAGCTATCTTATCACACATCCTCAGGCTGAGAAGGTATGTACCGTCATATCTGGATGCACTGCCAATTAGTTTATTGCCCCAGTGTGAAAAAGGGAGTTGACTTAGTATCCCATTCTAGTGGTGCAGGAGGGAAGATAACCACCCTCCAGGCTCCAACAGCCAGTGGAAAGAAGTTCTTACAGAGAGTCTGGTTGCATTTCCTGATAGGCTAGGATTGACCAAGCAAGCTGTGAAACAGCTCTGATTGTAAGCCTCCTCTGTGTGAGCAAGCAGTCAGAGCTAAAACTTGATTTCTAGAGGGAGCAGTGAATGGCCCTTCTCCAAAGATTGACCAGAGCGACTCCATTGTATAAGCTGACTCTGTCTTAATATATTGTGTGGGGGCCAGCAGGTGGTGTGGTGGTTAGGGGCACTGGACTCCCACATGACCGACCACGGTTCTGGTGGCTTGGCTTCGTGCTTTCTCTCTCTCTCTCTCTCTCTCTGTGTGTGTGTGTGTGTGTGTGTGTGTCTCACTCTGGTCAATTAAAAATAATTATGATGATAAATAAAATAAAATAAATAATTTTTTAAAATAGTGTGTGTGCGCATTTCCTAGCACAGTGACTCTTCTTTGCGAGTCCCGGCCCTATTTACCTACTCATTTGGTTGCATTCTTGTCTCACTACTACCAGTCCAGGCTGTTAACGTTTGCAC